GTGATCCCTGTATTCCCTGTATCCCCCGTATTCCCTATATTCCCGGTGTTCCCGGTGTTCCAGGCTCTCTCCCGTCCCGCAGGACCGTGTCCTGGGTGGGCTGCGCTGGGCCCGCCTGCAGGAGCCCCTGGGCTTCATCAAGGTGCTGGAATGGGTGAGTGCCCCCCCCGCGACCCCCCCCCCAGCCCGAGGGGACCCCGGAGCCCCCCCCGCCCCTCCGGACCCTCCCCGACCCCGCCACTTCGGGGGGGTTCGGGGTGCGGGGCCTCGTGTCCCCCCCCGTGACCTTGAGCGGGTGGCCGTGCCCGGCCGGGCCGGGGGGGGGACGGGACACGCAGGGGGAGGGGGGGACCAGGACACGGGGGGGCGTCCCCGCCGTTCCCACGGGCTCGGAGGGCGCTGGGTGGGGTGGGGAGGGGGATCGGTGGGTCTGGGCCGTGGGAGTGGGGGGGGAGCCCCGCGGGGAGGGGGGGCTGAGCCGAGTGGCCGCGGGCCCGGCCATGCCAGGGCCGATCCTGATGGGATTGGGTTTCAGGGCGGCATTTCCGAGCCTCGGCCTCACCAGGGGCTCCCGGGGGAAACTGAGGCACAAGGGGGGCCCTGTCAGCCCGGTTTGGGCATCTCCCACCCGCGGCAACCGAATTTGGGGTCGGATAATCCCCCTCCACCCAGGGAGGGCCCCCCGGTGCAAAGACCCCCCCAAAGCAAAACTGGGAAGGGGGGGGGGGGGGGAAATCCCTGCAGGAGCAGCCAGAGAATTCCCAGCTTTGCCCCTGCACGTGGGGGCTGCCCACGGGAGGGGTTAGAATCGCTACTTGGTGGGAAGGCTCGGCCCGAGGTGGGGGGATAAAACTACGGGAAAACTCTCCGGGAATGGCGTTTTCCCGGCGCCCCCATCCCGGAGATCCGGGCGGTGCTGCCCCGGGGGACGGGGACGATCCCGGGGGTGCCACCAGGGCTGGCTGGAAACCCCCTCAGTCGCTCAGATTAACGGGGGGGAGAGTGGGGGGCTCGGCCTTGGTGCCCCCCTGAACATCAAATCCCGGTGCCGGTGGAATCCCGGTGCCAGTGGAATTCCCGGTGCCAGTGGAATTCCCGGTGCCCGCAGCTGCCACCCGACAGCTGCCGCGGGATGGCGGCGTGCCCGGGACTGAGCGCCGGGGGTGCAAACCCCCTCCGGGATGGGGCTGGATGAAGGGGGGGGCTCCCCGCAGGGTCTCTCCCCGACCCCCGCCCCTCTCCCCAGCTCTTCGCCATCTTCGCCTTCGGCTCCTGCGGCTCGTTCAGCGGCGAAACGGGGGCCACGGTGCGCTGTGAGAGCGGGGCCACGACGGTCATCGCAGTCCAGTTCGGCTACCCCTTCAGGTGAGGGGGGGCTGAGCCCCAAAACCCCCCCGGGACCCCCCCCGGGGGTGCTGCGCTGGGGTTAACCCCCCCCCCCCACGCTGCCAGGAGCCCCCCGGGACATGGGCGGGGCCCTGAAGGGGGGTGTCCTGATGGGGACCCCTCACACCCCGACCCCGTGGGGACATCACGGGGCATCCCTGGGGTTAGGGGACATCCCTGGGATCGTGGGGCATCCCTGGGATCAAAGGGTATCCCTCTGGCTCCAGTTCCCACCGCCACCATCCAGCGGGATTCTCGCTAATCAGGGAACACCAGCGGCATCCCGGTTTATCTGGGAATGCGCTGATGGAGCCGGGCCAGCCCCGAGCCACCGGCTCTGCCCCTCCCTGTGCCACCGGTCCCCGTGCCAGGGCACTGCCCCCTGGACAAGCAGCCAGGCTCGGAGCTGGCAGCGGATCTGTGCCCTCCTCCCAGGGGACCACCCCAGCCTGGGCATTCCCTGCATCCCCATCATCCCTCACCCCAGCCTGGTTATCCCCTCCATCCCCATTCCCAAGGAGCCACCTCAGCCTGATTATTCCATCCCCCCATCCCTGGAGGACCATCCTAGCCTGGTCATTCCCTGCATCCCCATTCCCAAGGAACCACTCCAGCCTGGTTATTCCAGCCATCCCTGTTCCCAAGGAACCACTCCAGCCTGGTCATTCCCTGCATCCCCATTCCCAAGGAACCACTCCAGCCTGGTTATTCCATTCATCCCCGTTCCGAAAGAACCACTCCAGCCTGGTTATTCCATCCATCCCCGTTCCCAAGGAACCACTCCAGCCTGGTTATTCCAGCCATTTCCATTATCCCCTCCATTCCAGGAGACCACCCCAGCCTGGTTATTCCCCCACCCCACCCCTCTACCCCCTGACCCTCCCTCCGTGCCTCCCTCTCTCCCAGGTTATACCAGATTCCCTTCGGGATGCCGGACTGCCAGGAGGAGTCCGAGGCCCGCACTTTGTACCTGGTGGGCGACTTCTCTGCCCCCGCCGAGTTCTTCGTGACCCTGGGGGTCTTCTGCTTCCTCTACTCCATGGCAGCCCTGGTGCTCTACCTCCGCTTCCATTCCCTCTACTCCAACAACACCAAGCTCCCCTTCGGGGTAAGAGGGGAACGGTGCCCTGGGGAGGTCCCAGGCTGTGCGGGGAGGGATGAGTTTTCCAGGGAAAAGCGTCAAGCCCGGCAGTTCCCGCAGGGAGGAGCTCGTGTCTCCCACTCAGGGACCGGGGCCACGCGGGCT